GCCAGTATTTTGCAGTGAAACGTTAGGAAAAACGCGTTGTTCTGTTTAGAGAGAGTTCTGTTTGGAAATATTGACCTAAAAGTGAAGAAACCGGAGTTTGAATAAAATAAAAAAAGTCATCAACATTTTCCCAGCAACGGCACTGAGTCACTGCGCCATTTCCGCAGCACTGCGCCAACTCCTAAAAACTCCATGAGTTACCCAGGCCTAATCGGACCGTGTACTTATTCTACCTGTTAAGTATTAGGTACTGAACCCTGGCGGTAGAACTTACTAGTTTCTAAGTCCTTGTGGGCCTTGCAATATTGTTACTTATAGTGTATGCTACATTCTACGATCTGTAGTCCAGTCCATTTTTTTTCGCCCGAAACAGCCTAATCTGACTGGACTGCTACGCCGTGTTACTATATTTATTTTTATATTTTCAGCCATTCTGATCATCTAAAGCCAGAGTCACCCGCACCAGGTAAATGTATACTCTGTACCTTTGAAACCAATATATTTGTGATTCGCGTGCCAATGATAGAAACCTAGATACCTAGATAAGGTTAGATCCTCTATATGTTAATGCTGTTTTGTGTGATGTTATATACCTACGATGTACCTTATGTTCGATTGTGTCGCGCAATAAAGGTCTCATTGTTTTCATCTATTTAACCTGCTAAACTGCCGATACGTTGAGGACAGGGAGGCGAAAAAAATGCAAATCCCGTTTGTTTTAACCCTCCCCAGCATAAAAGTCCAATTACTCCGGCCTTAATCTCGTCTCGGCGCTCCATGAAAGTATGCATGAGGTCTGCGCCCGAAACAATGAGTTCCCGAGGATCGGCCTTTTTCAAACAGACAAGAATAAGAGAGGATTTCAATCAAACGAAAGGAACTCATGGTTTTATGCAAGAGATGCGAGCGTTTGCTCGCTGCTTTAAACCGACTTCCACTCCTGGATTTACCACAGATTTCCAGTCATGTACATTTCCAGTACGTTTTGATGTTTGATGTTCCACTGCTGATCCAGAGCGGGTTTGGATCGGCTAAACCTTCCGGGAAATAAAGCGCCCGTTTTGCCTCTAACTAGAGGAATTTGTTGCAATCCGCGAACCATTTATCCACATTAACATCTCGTCCCGGTTATTTATGTCGTCTGGCCCCTCTTAGGTTCGGGGATTTAGTTTATGACCGTATTTACTCTTTTAGATTACAACGGGCGGTTATTTGCCGGCCTTTTAAACATGGGGAAAAAATCGGGGAGCAACGCATTATATTATGAATATTTCTGGATGTTCTGGATGTGCGGCTGAAGCTTCCAGGCAGTTTTAATGAGACAAACGTCCCTCTTCGAGGCCCCGAGGGTAAATTCCGAGACCGAAATCAAAACAAATAGTCGCAAATAAACGACAATAGACCATTTGTAGCCGAAAATAATTGGGGTTCCCCCTGGACTTGTCGACGCGACAATGCGACTCATTTGTATTAAGATAAATCGACTATAAGGGATAGTTTTTGTTTGATTCGCTTCATTGACTCTGCAATTGATGGTTTGCCGGCTGGTTTTCCTGCTGACATCACGAGAAGCATGGATTTTGCTTCAAGCGTCCCCGGATTCTTTAAAGAAATACGTCGCGTGGCTTTGGGTCAAGTTTTGAAAAGTCTGATGATGGATGGCTCTAAATTCGATACTCTCCGCATCCTGAGTGGGCTTTTGTCTATACAATTCAGCAGGGGATAAGTTGCCATCTTTCTCCAGTTTGGCGCAGTTAATGTTTTAATCACGTCTTACCAGGCGTGTGTTTGATTAATCAGACGTTAAGTTTTGAATAATTCTTCCGGACTCTTTGAAGAAGACTGAAAAAATTCGAAACTTTCCCCATTCATGGGCCCGTATTACTGTTATCCAATTTTGTCAAGGCAAATTCTCCATCCTTTGTGCGTTTGGCCCAATTAATTTTTCAAAAGTGGCTTGCAGAAGTATCTGATTGAAAAAAACCTACATTTTGAGTAAGTTTCACCAGTTTCTCCATGGCACCAATTTGGAACTTTACCCATTCATACACTCTCTTTTGCCTTTCCAATGAGAGAACCGAAAATTGTCCACCGTAGTTGGTTTTGATTAAGTTAATTTTGTTAGAAGCTCTTGCAAAGTGCGGTGGTTTTTGTAAACCCAGTTAAAAAATTCACAAACATTTCCTGATGATGGGACTAATTCGAAACTGTCCTGGTTGAAAGATTCGAGTTTTTGCTCTACACTGGAAAAATGCGCAATCCACCATCAACTTCGAGTTTTGCTCAATTCATTTTTAAAGCTCGCCTTGCAGGAAAGCGTGACTGAGAATCGCAGAGTTTACCATAAAATTTTACAAAATTAGTATGAATACGGAATTTTTTCTTCTCAAGTCTTCATCAGTCTCATGTTGATGAGAAAACGAGAAATTCTTCCACCTTACTTAGGTAGTTGGCTTTGGTTTAATTTAGAAGTCGTCTGGTCCTTACAAAATGAAACTCTAAAGTTTCAAAAATTCTGAAAAATTCTCTGATGATGGCACTGATTTGAAACGTTTTCCACTTATAGAGCCGGCCTTTGTCTATTGAATAGAGAAATGGCTAAATTTCCATCCATTTTGAGGTTTTCTCAATTAATTTCTGAAGCGCGCTTTGCAGAAGAGCCTGTATGAAAAACCGCGATGTTTGAGAAATTTACCAAAAAGTCTCTGAAAATGGTACTAATACGGAATTGTTCTCATCATATAAATACTCGATGAAAAAACTGGAAAATTTTCACCTCACTTGTTTGGCTTTAGTTTAATTAATTTTATTTGCATGCTCTTAAAAAATGGTCTGGTTTTTACAGAATAAAACACTAAAGTTGAGAAAATTCTGAAAAATTCTCTGATCATGGCACTGATTCGAGACGCTTGCCACTTATACAGCCGGCTTTTGTCTATTGAATAGGGAAATGCTCAATTTTCCATCTATTTTGAGTTTTTCTCAACTAATTTCTGAAGCACGCTTTGCAGAAGAGCCTGTTTGAAAAACCGCGATGTTTAAGAAATTTACCAAAAAGTCTCTGATGATGGTACTAATACAGAATTTTTCTCATCAAGTAAAGACTTGATGAAAAAACGAGAAAATTTTCTCCTTACTTGGTTGGCTTTAATTTAATTAATTTTATTTGCATGCTCTTGAAAATGGTCTGGTTCTTAAACTTCTGAAAACTTCTGAAAAATTCTCTGATGATGGCACTGATTCGAAACTTTTTCCGCTTATAGAGTTGGCTTTTGTCTATGGAATAGAGAAATCGCCAATTTTCGATCCATTTTGAGTTTTTCTCAATTAATTTCTGAAGCGCGCTTTGCAGAAGAGCCTGTTTGAAAAACCGCGATGTTTGAGAAATTTGCCAACAAATCTCGTGCTTTTGACACCAATTTGAAACTTTACCCACCTATGCACTGGTTTTTACTCTTTTTAACAGAAAAATGGCAAACATTCGGGCTCATTTGGCATTGGCCCAATTAATTTTTGAAGTTCTCGCACAATGGTCCGGTCCATGCAAAATCAAACACTCAACTTAAAAAAAATCTGCAAAATGCCCTGATACTGGCACTAAGTCGAAACTGTTTCAGCTAATAGACCTGGCTTTTGCCTTTCAAACACGGAAATAGCGAATCCATCACTTCTCTTAATTTCTCCCCAATTGATTTTGGCGAAACTTCCTGTAAAACTTGTGGTTAACAGACGCAGAATTTTAAAACTTCCTTCAAAAATCCCTGACCCAGAGGATTAATTGGAAACTTTTTCCATGCAGAGCTTCAACATCTCCCAGTTAAACATAGAAAATACATATTTTGCACCCCTCTTGCTTCGTGCTTAATATTTTTTTTAGAAACTCCCATGAAAATTGCTTGGTTAAACCGGCGCTAACCTTTGAAAAATTCT